GGGGAATGTCGCCCGCCGACCGCCGTTATTCTTTATCGGAGCATGAGACATCTGTCGTAATAAGTGCGGACTAAAAAATAGTGCGTACGCAGAGAGAGAGAAAGAGAGGGAAAGAGAAGAGAGTAACGGAGAAAAGAGCCCGGTGTCTCGATGGTGGGGAGAGCTTTATGCCTGTGGTCGCATCGGCCGTGCCTCCTCTTTCACCCCGCTGTACCCTTGCCCAGCCCACCTCTTTTCTCTTCTCTTCTTCTCTCCTCTCCTCTCCGACTCGCTCGCTCCTTCGCAACCCCCCTCACTCCATTTTTCTCTCTTCGTCGCACTCACGACTCCCCTCCCTCCCCCCTCAGTTTCTCTTCCATGGGCTCACCCCACTTTACCCGTTAGCCCACGAGACGAAAATGCGCAAAGCTAACGACTTCCAATTAAAAGCGCTGGAGCTGGAATTTTAAAGGCGCCACCACTGCCTACTTCGGTTCGCGCGCTTCGGCTACACCGGATTATCGTGGATTATCGTGGATAGACCGCCACGCCGCCACGCCGCCGCCCCGACTATCCGCTTCCGACTTCCCCGATACCATCGTCCTAATCGTCATCGCCGCGGTTGCAGTTTCCTGGCCGCTTATCGAAATTTCCTCGAAATACGCGTCTCATTATCCTATGAAATTCTCGAAAGATTCGATATCCTCTCTACTGGTCGCGACTCGCGTTATTGCTCTTGTTACCTCGCTCGCCGATAGCTCCACAAAGATCGAACGAAAACGCCTATCGAGTTCCCCCGTAATCGTTCACCGATACGTATGATACTTTAACGAGGGACAACGCTTACTCTCCGTCGACTAGATAGTCTAGCCATCCATCTATTCGGCAGCCGGCCTGTCTCGCGATCCCTCCTGCCATCCTGCTCCTGCTAAGCTCGCGCCCGCAGCTACTACCCCCTCCGCCGGCACCGTAGGCGACCCCACTCGATTCGCCCCTCAAAAAATCATTACGCCCTTCCGCGGGCTGCGCATGAACGCGGTTTTAATTCGCTACTAGAAAAGTAAAATGTAAACGCCGTTGGATGAGAGGGACGAGGAGGAGGGGGTGGGCCGAATGGGAGTTGGTGCGGGCTTAGGAAGGACGAGGGGACGAGAGAGCGAGGGAACGGGCGAAAAGGGCGGAGGGGCCGACGGGAGAAAGACAGAGAGAAAAAGAGGAGGGTAAAAGCTGAAGGAAAAAGCGAACTACGGAGCGAGATAGTATGAGAAAGATATAGCGGAGCGAGAGAGAGGAGAGCGAAGTTTCGCGGACGTAGTCGAGGACGAGGCGAACGAGGACGAGGAACGCGACGACTGTGAGAGCGCGACGTAGGACAGATCCTTTTTCCACTGCTGCGGCGGAAAGAGGAGGATCGGAAGAGAGAGGACGACGGAGAGATAGAGAGGGAGCCGGGAGAGAGGAGGATACGCTCCCCTACTTCTCTAGGGGTTCCATTGTAATATTTATTGATTGGATTCCTAGGAGCCAAAGCTGAGGGCTGTGGCACCTATACTTCGACTAGATTGCCTAGAAATGTTTCCGTACGCTCGGCGAGAAAGCCCGTTTTCCCGATTCTCTGCGTTTTCTTCGCTCGAGTCAGCCGGTTCGGAGAAACGTTCCACTGACCTTGGTCGAATAATTCACGGCAAATAGCCGTGAGCGGGATGCGGCTCCATCGGTTACCGAATAAATTCCATCCGTGAAAAGGACGCGCTCTCGATTGTTAATTTCCACCTCTGGCAAACAAAAAATCGAAAAAAAAACGAAAAAAAAACAAACACGTGGGAAAAAATCGCGCTCACGTAGACGTTAATCCTTTTATACCGAAATTGATTCAGTGGCAAAATCTATCTAAATAAAACGCGTTTATCCTATCGTGTTAAATCGTGTCTGAAAAAAAAAATCGACTGGCCAAACAAAATGAATCGTGGCCCGCGGTCTATTTTCCCGAATAAAGTAGCTCCGCCGAAAGAACAGCACGTTTCTCGCCGGATATTTCATTTTTTCTTAAAGGCCGATCGCACGGACCAACGGAAACCGGGCCAAACGCCAAATAACGAGCGAACGATCCAGAGAAAAGGGCCCGGTAAACCACGTCGACGTTATTCTCATTCAACGATGCGCCATTGAAGCAAACGAGTACATCGCCTTTTTCATCCCCTCCACGATCTATCGGTGAACGATACGTCGAACGTTATTTCCTGCGGAACACAGGAGTCCATGAGTCAGTTGGCCTTGAACGCGTATATTCAGGATACCGCGCGTCGTTCTTCCATCGCGTACACGACGGCTACACGCTTTCGCGTTAGTAAAATCGAGGTTACGCCTGAAAAATTAATGAACTCCGCGCGAGAGAAAACATAAGGAAACGCCGATAAATAACGGTGGCGCGTGCTGCGAGATCGTTTGCGCGCTAACGAACGCATGATGTGTTCAGTCGTTTGCCGTGAAGAGAAGCGTCGCCGCGTTAAACGCTGAATCGCAGTAAACGTCGGCCGTGGATAATGCATAATAACGAGGAACGTAAACCGGCGCGCTCGCGCGCTCCATCGCTCGGTCGGAC